AAGTAAAATCTGAATTGAATGATTTATACTTTCCAAGACATTTTGATGTTAATGGACTATATGTTAGCACATTTAGGAAAAATACTCTAGAATACAAGATGATCCTGTGTCCTAGAGAATCATATATGATAAATTCTCAAATTATTAAGCCTGCTTTGGATGTGTGATATTCTGGCTAATGAACATCTCTGTCATATAATTTCTAAAGATTAATAAAAGTTATATTCAGTTTCAGTGTTTAGTATTGTTTAAGGATGTTGCTATTATTGTTATTAGAGTCCTGGTGTGACGCTGTGGGCTAATGTGTCAGACTGCAAAGTCATTTGAACTGCAAGTTTGGTGGTTCAAGCTCACCAGCTGTTCCTTGGAAACCCTATACAGAGTCACTATGGGTCGGAACCGACTCTATGGCACTTAACATTGTTGTTAGTTAGGTGCTGTCAAGTCAGTTCCAAATCACAGCAACAGAACGTAACACTACCCAGTCCTGTACCATCCTCACACGTGTTTGTCTGAGTCCACTATTGCAGCTGCTGGCAGTCTGTCTCGTTGAGGGTCACTCTCTTTTTCACAGTTCCTCCAGTTTATCAAACATGATGTCCTTTCAAGGGACTGGTCCCTTCTGATAACAAGTCCAAAGTACATAAGGCAAAGTCTCACCATCCTCATATCTAAAGAACATTCTAGGTGTACTTCCGGTAAGGCTGATGTTATTTGTTCTTCTGGCAGTTCAAGGTAACTTAAATATTCTTTGCCAATAACATAATTCAAATGCATCAATTCTTCTCCAGTCTTCCTCATTTATTGTCCAACTCTCACACACATATGCAATGATAGAAAAGACCACGGATTAGGTCAGGCACACCTTGGGTCAGTCACTAGTCCTGTAAGTGACATTTTTCCTCTTTAACACTTTTTAAGCAGGTCATTTGCTGCAGATTTGCCCAACACAATATTTCATTTAATTTTTTGATTCATGAGTGTTGCCTGGATCCAAGTAAATTAAATCCTTGGCAACTTCACTCTTTTCTCCATTTATTATGATGGTTTTTATTGATCCATTTGTAGGGATTTAAACATCTTTAATTATATCAACAGCCATGAACATCAATTATTTGTCTTTCGGATTTATAAGAGTTTGTTATTATAGTTAACTAGTTTAGTAAATGTTTATCCGTATTCACATTTTTGTAAAGTAAGACATACCTTTTTCTCATTGTACATACAAGTATTAGCTAAGTGTCTTTTGGTATATGGAGAGATGAGATGATTTCTTCTCCCATAACTCCTCCTTTCTTCTTTATCTTTTGTCTAAACCATCTCATAGCTGCACTATTGTTGTGTTGTTAAGTGCCGTCAAGTCGGTTGCAACTCATAGCGATCCTGTGTAGGGTTTCCGAGGAGCAACTGGTGAGTTTGAACTGCTGACCTTGCAGCTCCAACAGTACATTGCCAGGGCACTGCCAGAAATTCATACTAGATTCAGAAAAGGATTTAGATCCAGGGATATCAGTGCTATTATCAGATGGATCTTGGCTGAAAGCAGAGAATACTAGAAAGATGTTTGTGTTTTATTGACTACACAAAGGTATTCAGTTGTGTGGATCATAACAAAATATGGACAATATTGCAAAGAATGGGAATTCCAGAACGCTTAGCCATGCTCATGTAAAACCTGTATATGGAACAAGAGACCATTGTTAGAATAGAACAAGGGGATACTGTGTGGTTTAATATCAGGAAACGTATGCATCAGGATTGTATCCTTTTACCACACTTAGTCAGTATGCTGAGCACATAAGCTGCTGGACTATATGAAAACGAGCACAGCACCAGGACTGGAGGAAGGCTCACTAACAACCCGTGATATACAGATGATACAACTTTGCTTGCTGGAAGCAAAGAGGACTTGAAACACATGCTGATAATAGATCAAAGACTAATGCCTTCAGTTATGGATTACACTTCAAGGCAAAGGAAATAAAAATCTGCACAACTGGACCCATAAGCAACATCACGATAAATGAAGAAAAAAGATTGACATTGTCAAGGATTTCATTTTGCTTAGCTCTACACTCAATACCAATGGAAGCAGCAGTCAAGAAATCAAATGACATGTTTTTGTGCACATCAAAAACAAAGGGGGGGGGAGGATTGATACAAATACTGTTAAATGGAGGGGATTGTAGTCATTGCAATGAAACAAAACACAACAGCATGAGTGTAAAACCGATGTTCTTCCATGTAAACTATCACTCAATTCACAAAAACATAAATCAAATGACATACTGCATTGGAAAACACTACTGTGAAAGATCTTTTTAAAGTGTTAAACAGCAAAGATGTCGCTAGTATGAACAAGTCATAGTAATTGCAATTGCCTTGTATACATGCAAAAGCTGGACCATGAATAAGGTATACAGGAGAATTTACGCCTTTGAATTATGGTGTTGGCAAGGAATACTGAATATTACCATGGACTACCAGGAGAATGTAGAAATCGGTCGTAGAGGACGTGCAGTCAAAATGCTTCTTAGAAGTGAGAATGGTGAGACTTTGTCTGCATACTTTGGACATGTTATTAGGAAGGATCAGTCCTTGGAGAAGGGCCTGATACTTAATAGAGGATCAGCAAAAATGAAGATGACCCTCAGTGAGATGGACTGACACCAGGCTACAACAATGAACTCAAACATATCAAACACTGTAAGGATGGTACAGGACAGGGCAGTGTTTTGTTCTGTTGTACACATGGTTGCTATGAATAAGAACTGACCCAACAACACCTAACAACAATAGAGGCTATATTCCATCCTGGGTCTCTTCTCTTTTAGTATTTAAGTATAACTCTTATTCCAAGAACAATCCAAACTCAAAATTATCCATCCTGTAATATCAGAACCAGTGATTTCTCACTTTCAGATTAGGAAAGTATTATGAAAAAGCTCTGGCTCTCTTAAAATTAGAATTGGCCTTCAAACTAATTTAAGATCTTCATAGGAATCACTATCATTTACTGAGTGCTTCAGTACTAGGAACCACGCAAGCTGCTAAGTAGACATCATCTCTTGCATGCCAAATCAGTGAATTCGTCTGTTTATCACAGGTAACAACACAAAATAATAGAAAAAATCTTCAAAATGCAGAAAAGAACATTTATTCACAAATTACACAACAAATACACATCCTTTTATCAAAATAGCATACCAATTTTTAAGTGCTCACTTCTCTAGGTACCCAACTACCCCTCTGAGAAGACTTCCTACGAAACAAAATAAAAGAGAACCAGTATATACTTTTGGACCATTCTAAACCTGACCCTTCTAACCAGAGCTAACTTTCTGATATCATTTAAGAAGGAAATATATAATACTTTACAAGGTGAGTACTGACTTCTTCAACTCTGAATAAAAGAGATATGCATTCCATCAAAACAAAAAATTTTAAATTGATTCATAAAAACATAAAAGTATTATTTACTCCTTAACATGAAGCAGCTAACTTCTCTAACAAAGGTACATTTCATTTTACCCCAATGGTATCTTCCTGAGTATCTGAAATAAGAGAATGAAGAGTTCTATACAATTGTACTATAATGTATATAAATATAATAATTCAGACTAGCAATGACAGTATTGATTTATGAATGCATTTATGGTCTTTCACTGAAATATTTTAATGTATTCTTATCTACTCATGGAACTGTATATACATGCCTTATTTTATTGCACTTTGCAGATATTCTGTTTTTACAATTTGAACGTTTTTGGTAACCCTGAGTCAATAAAATTTATTGGAGTCATTTTTCCTATAGCATGTGCTCACTTCCTGGCTCTGGTAGTCTGGGAACTTTCACAATATTTCAAATGTCTTCATAATGCTACTGCACTTAATAGACTACAGTATAGTGTAAACGTAACCTTTAAATGCACTGGGAAAACAAAATTTCATGGGATTCACTTTACTGTGAGTCTTGTTTTACTGTGGTGGTCTGGAACCTAACCTGCAATGTCTCTGGCGTATGCCTGTACTGAAAAACATATTTTAGCTTCTATGCATTTTTGTCTTTTCGTTATTCACTCATTGACACTCTAACAATAACATCCCTATTTATATCTTTTAGAAAGATGTAATTTAGCTATTTTAAAATGTAATTATTTCTCAAAAAAAAAAAGTAATTATTTCTCATTTTACAGACTAGTTCAGAAAAAGTAATCTAGGAAAGGAATTCCAAACCATCAGGTGGTAAGTTACAAGCAAGAGATAAATGGCTTTATAAGTTTTTAAGCTTTCAAAAGGAAAATAAAATATTGTTTTTGATTGGGACAATGTAGCAATACAATTTGTTGTTGTTATTGTTGTTGTTAGGTGCCATCGAGTCAGTACCAACTCATAGCAACCCTATGCACAACAGAACAAAACACTGCCCAATCCTGGGCCAACCTCACAATTATTGCCATGCTTGAGTCCACTGACGCTGCCACTTTGCCAATCCATCTCGCTGGGGGTACGCATCTGTAAAAGACATTCACCATTTTACAAATGATTCCGTTGTGGTAGGGCTATTTTACTTACAGTGATAATTTAAAAGATAAAACCATTACTCAGACATTTGTCAGCACTTCACACATTTAACAAATACTGAAAGAGGCAACTGTCATTGTTATAATAACTTTAAAAGCAAAATTGTATGCACAAGTCAAATTTAAGAGAAATTTCAGAAAATGTCCAGAATATATATTTGTTTGCATGCATTTTCAGACAAACTTTCAAAGACTCTAGATATAACATAATGACAACTTTGAATCTAAATGAATTTCAAGAACACTAAAAATCTTGGACTTATTGTAATGAAGCAAAAAAGACCCAAAAAGTAAATATTAAGGGTAGTATACTTTTATGAGAAAAGGAATTTACAAACTTCCTTTATCATAAAACAAAAGTTAGTAAGTCAACATTTTAACAACACTGGACATCAAGTTATCCACTCATATCTCTTAATTAAATTAAATAAATCAAAACCATTTTACTCAGATTTTTATCTTAACAAATATAAGCCATAACATATTATGCACAGTCCAAATATTACACAATATAGCTCTACCATTTAGTCTTTATATTCCTCACTGAAAAACTTATTTTACTACAAGCAGGAGTTTTGCCCCATTTCTCCAGAGTAAATGTCCCTATGTCTAAATATTATTTACGTAATAACCACAAACACACACTCAAATAATTCATGGTATGCATACTGCTTCATCGGGCTTTGATAAAAACAGAGCCATCTGGGGTGGTAGCACTTTCTTCCTTCTCAGTTACGGTCTCTACTGTCCCGGAAGCAGACACAATAACCATGGTTTTATTGGCTGAAACGGCCTTCTGTTTCTCAGCAATAGCAGCACAAACAGCAACAATCTCATCACTTTCAAAGTCATAGTCAGGAATTGACTTTGGTGAGAAATGTGTTACTTCTGCCGACGCTTCGCTTTTTTCAATCCTCTGTGCAACCTTTTGCTGCTCATGGAGTTTTCTTGCCCAAGAGAGGTCTTCTTTCCATATTTCAGGGTTCATTGGATAGATGTGAAGGGCTACTTGAAAACTTCGAATTGCCTAGAAGAAAGAAAGGTCAGAGGTTTTCATCTAGTTTTTAACAAACTGGTAATGTTTAATGCAATCCACATTCTACCTACATATAAAGACTGACAAATGGATAGAGACATGGTTGTTGTCAGGTGTCACTGAATAGGTTCTGATTCATAACATAATGACAACATAGCGACAACACAACAAAACAGTGCCCTGTCCTGTGCCACCCTCACAATTGTTCCTATGTTTGAGTCCACTGTTGTAGTCACTGTTGAGGAGATTTATATTTTTTGCTGACCCTCTACTTTAACCAAGCATGATGTTCTCTCCTGATAACATGTCCAAGTAAGTGAGATGAAGTCTTGCCATCCTCACTGCACTTCTTCTAAGGCAGATTTCTTCATTCGTCTGACATGATATAATTGATTTTCTTTTGCCAACACCATAATTCAAAGGCATCAATTCTGCTTTGGCCTTTCTAATTCATGATCCAGCTTTCATATGCATATGACGTGATTGAAAAGACCATGAACTTGTTCAGGTGCACATCAGTTTTCAAAGTCATCTTTGCTTTTTAGCAAAGAGATCTTTTCCAACAGATTTGCCCAATGCAATGTGTCATTCAGACATATTGTCAGGAGGGACCAGTAATACTTTTAAGCAACCAGTTAAAATAATATAATCTTTAACATTTTTTATTAAGAATATTAGCTATAAACCTTTTTTCTGTTAAGATGGCTCTGTCCATTACTATTATAAAATTCCTGGAATTAAGTGTTCTTTTATTCCCACTTTTGTTCATTTTTTCAGGGCTTACATGTAAAAAAATCCAAATCTGCAGTTTTTATATACACTTAACCTGTCCTCTTAAAAGACCTGAATGGTCAAAGGGATTAATTCTACTCATTGTCATAATAACAAGATACTTTAAACATATTGTTGTTGTTAAGTGCCAT